TGTGTCGAATTAACGAGGTTATACTGTATGTGTTTCCGGCTGTTGGCCCTCATGGTGAAAGCTCAACGGACAAAAAAGTTGTTATTTGAGACTTCCATAAATGACATGTGGCTGTGTGTGGAATCAACAATGGGTTGTTGTAGTGACCTTAGTTTCTAACCAGCTCATTGCAGGTCTTCCTTCAATTTTTCTCAACATCACCATCTTTTTCTAAGTAACTCATTACATGTCCTGTGAAGTCTTTGTTTACATATTGGGGGGGGATTCTACCAGGTTTCATTGAAGTTGATTTCTCCGCGGCCAAGGTTAGGGTGGTTTAAAATTGGAACTAATTTTGTTTACCATGAGTAGGTCTAGTGTGGAATAATACCTGATGTAAAAGAAAATAAGACCTAATCCAAATAATTTATTAGTGTGTGATGTTTCGGCAACAACATTGTCACCATCATCAGACAAAAGAATAACGTCACACACTAATAAATTATTTGGATTGGGTCTTATTTTCTTTTATTATAATCTATAATCCAAATTGTGCTTTATCACAATTCCTGATGTGTTTTCACGACCTGGAGAAATGAGTATCTCGCCTAATGTTTCTATATAAAATATGTTTATATATTTAATTAATAAAAAAGTTTTATTAAAATGCACTAAAAAGGAGGAAATAAATACAGGATAATCTCATTGTTTCAACAAATGATAATTCGACACTTGAGATAATTGGACCATGTTTTCCTGACCTAGCAAATACCCAATGTTGATTTGACACCATAGACAATTTGACTGATTTTTTAAAAATCAAATTTTGACAACATTAGAGATAAATCTTGTAAATACAATGGCATGTCCAGTGGTCGTACAGTGTGTCGCAAATGTTGGCGCCCACATCACGTTTTGGAGTATTTAGGACTTAAGCAGCTGCTAGACACTGGTGTAAACAATGAGGTGTCTTAGAGAGTGACTTGAAATAACTTACAGCAGGGGAAGAAATGCCTTTTGAAGATTGATCCGCTAGAATGCACACTATATAGGAGGGTTCTAGCTTAAAAGCAAACAGCCATAAAATATTTCTTTAAACACAAGGTAATAAGACCAAATCCAAATAAATAAATAGTGTGTGACATTTCGGTAACAGCGTTGTTACCATCTTCAGACAAAAGTACTGAATGAGAAATTTTACCACAGCATGTTTTAAATAGTTACCGTTATCAAGTGTGTAAACAATATAGCATGCTGTGGTAAAATTTCTCATTCAGTACTTTTGTCTGAAGATGGTAACAGCGCTATTACCGAAATGTCACACACTATTTATTTATTTGGATTTGGTCTAATTACCTTGTGTTTATTTTATATATTTATTTGCTTTCTTCCCATTGCATTTATTCACCTAGATTGGTATTTGATAGTATTCAATATAGTAGTTGTAATTTTCAAAAATGTATTAAAGCAACCCTGTGGGGAGTATTTGTTGGATGCTTGAGACAAGTAGGAAGTCAGATGAAGGACAAGATGCCCATCTCCTCTGGCATGAGCTGAATGACCCTGGGAATACACAGCAGCCTTGTCATGGATCACACCTTGAGATATCTCCCAGGTTTAGCCAGAGGTTTGTGGATTGATCCAAGGAAATTAATTGAGCTAAAATCCCATCTCAAGATTTAAAACAACAACCTACAAAGCTGTAGACAGCCTCTGCTGGATTTACAAGTGTCCCACACCAACTTATTGATGGGATTCATAGAAGGAGAGCTGTCTGAGGATGGTAACACCAAAGTGCCATGTGTCCGCCTTTGCTGGTCCCAAGCCCGGATGAAAAAGGAGGAGGGGAAGCAGTAACAAGCTCACTAAAAAAACCTGGGCTCAGCTGGCCCAGCTGATAGTACCCTGTAAGGGCTCCTGATTCAGGGATACAGGATGAGTCTGTACTCCATGTTAGGAGAGGCTGCACATGGCATCTTTTCCTCATGTCAGAGGCGGCCATTTCTTTTGGAGCTAAGTAGGCCTGCCATTGAGTAGTGCTCCCAGTCTAAATGACAAAGGCATTCTACTTCACCCAGCCATGATGGTTGTAAAGGCTTGATACTCTAATATGATTGAGTGGAGATAAGAAAGAATGTCATGTGTAAATTACTTATTTAGTCTTGTTACCTTGTGGTTCTTTTAATGCCTAGATGACAGGAGTTATTATCCTTAGTTACATGTGGTATAGCCCATGATAATCATGGTGGGTAGTTAGCGAATGTTTTTACTGCACCACATGTGGTATAGCCCATGATAATCATGGTGGGTAGTTAGCGAATGTTTTCCTGCACCACATGTGAAAATCAGTTTAAAGATAGGTGTAGTTATATAAGAGAGACTCCCAATGTGAAGATTTATTGACAAGTGGTGATTGCCAGATGGTCCTCTCAGCCCCGCCAAGTGGCTGCCAGGATATTGAGTCGCATTTCATCTACCGGCACACTTCACCACAAGTTTGTTTCCCACACTAGATAATTCCACATTAGGAGCTCTAATTAATGACCTTGTTTATTGCAACATCTCAATTAAAAATTTCTACAGGGTGGTTGGTCAATCTTCTGATGGTTGTTTGAATTGGCCAAGAGCTCGCTGGAGAAAGGAACAAATTAAAACATAGAGCTCTACTAGACATTTTGTCTTTATAAGTCAACAATCAACTTTCAAAATAGTTTATATTGTGTTTGTAAAGCGTAATAGAACTTCCCATGAATATACTTCTGGTCTCTCAATGGAGGTGGTGTCTCTCATTAGAGGTGGTCTCTCATTGGAGGTGGTCTCTTATTGGAGGTGCAGATATAGACATCCTTGATTTTAAAAAGTAGTTGTACAGGGAGGTGGTTGTCTATCATGATTCAGTGGCTCTCTGTGCATCCTGGTCAACTCCGAGCTCCCTTCCTGCAGCCCATTATCTCACTTCCTTAAACCTACAGTTGGATGACAATTACTGGAGCCCAGGATGTCATTATAGGCCATTGGTGTTCATTGAACCTTTCATGTAAATAATTACAATAATAAAGGACCTGTTAGTGAGACATTTATAAATTTGAAATACTTTTTTTTTTATTTTTATTATTTATATAAAAAAAATATAACATTTATATTGATCACTTTCCAAAAAAAAAATATGTTTGAATTTTTTTTTTTTTTTTTAATAAAAGGTTGAAAACTTTGACACAAATCACATCAACATGACAAAACCAGCTGGAGTTGTTAAATACTGGAATTGGTCCCAGGCCTCCTGACTTGGAAGACAGGAGGAAGTGTCTCTCTCTTCTATCAAATTCTGTAAAACATGCAGGTTGTTGAGAAGTTTGGCTGAGGCTATACATATATAGTAACTCTTGCTACAGGACACAAGGACAGTTTTCATCACCAAAATTACCATGATTAGCTACAACACAGAAGTTAATAAGACCAAGTAAATAAATAACAGCATTGTTGGCGAAATGTGACACACTATTTATTTATTTAGATTTGGTCTTGGTTTCATTAGCTTCAGTCAGTACTTTTGTCTGATGATGGTAACAACCCTGTTACTGAAACGTCACACACAAGATAAATGCTCTCTCCTTGACTTGTAGTCCTCCTAGATGAAACTGGGCCCAGGTCATATAAATTCTGGTGCAATTCTGTGGCAATTTTTATAAATGACTTTTGTAAAAATAAGGGGAGGTACTTCGAGGATCCTGCCCAAATCGCATTGCTGAACTCTAATCCAACCTTCTTCCCCTGCACCTAAGGAGAAAAATCTGCTTTTCAAAATTTATAGCAAAAAAGATTAACTCTCCAAAAGAACATCTTAGAGGAAAATTTATTAGAAATTGGGTCCCAAATCAAAGACTAAAACGCCCCACTCCTCTCAACCTGGCTCACAACTCTAATCTTTTAGACATCCCAATTAATCCCAAACACAGAACTTCCTATCCCCCACACAAAACTCGCAACAAACTCATCTGTTTCCCTCATCTACCAGACAATCCCCACAAACATGAAACTCAGCCAGAATTACTTAAAGCTCTTGGCCTCCAAATCATTGAGGAAAATAGCTCCCTCTTCGACATCACAATTTACACTGACGGTAGCCAACTTGAAACTGGACTGTCTGGCAGTGGAATTGCTATCTACAAAGATAAGATCCTGGAAAAAATCTCCCTTTCCCACCCTAGACATCTTCCAGTTTATAAATCAGAACTCTCTGCTATAGATACGGCTCTAAAAGACATCAACATCAACTCGCCAAGCAAAATAATAATCTACTCTGACTCAAGAGCAACCATTTATACCCTTCAAAGCTGCTTCTCCAGTCAAGAACCTCTCCTCAAGAGCATTGCTAAGTTTGTAAACCGACTCCCAACCAACAGCTCAGTCACAGTGCAATGGCTTCCAGCTCACGTTGGAATTCCTGGTAATGAGCTGGCAGACTCTCTGGCAAAGGCTGGAGCGCTTGGCCTACCTGAAGCAAGAGAATCTACCACCCAACTAGACGAAAGAGACCTCCTCCGTACCATCAAAACCCAATGTCTGCAGGAATGGAAATCTGATGCTGCACATGACTGGTACAGAGCAGGAGGGACAAGCACCAGTTCTGTCCTCCCAAGAGAACAACAGTCTTTGATTTCCAGACTTAAGTCTGGTCATCTACGGACAATGACTTTCCAGAATGGCTGCAGGGTTTTCCCACTATGTACTAAGTGCAATTCTCAGCCTGCAACCCCAAGACATATTATTGACTGTATTGACTCATCCATTGATGAGCTCTACTCTTCCCCGGCAGACACCATCAAAAAGCTTTACAAGCTTGATACCTTAGTGTGATTGAGTGGAGATAAGAAAGAAGAAGGGAGTGCTGCAGGTACTGGCTTCGAGGAAGTTTCCACCTGGTTCTGGCACAATGCCATCATCTGCTGCATGAATTAGTTCTGACTCCCTGCTAGTGAATGTATTCACCTTTTCTACATCTTTTTATTTAATTTTAGTCTACAGCCTTACCACATTGAAAACACTGGTTCTTGTTCAATCACTGAAGTTAAGCAATGTCGGGCCTGGTCAGCACTTAGGAGGGTGACCACTTGGTGTCAGCAGCCACTTCTGTCCCTGGATGTTTATACAAGTGGTGGGAGAATGTAACCTGATCCTTGTAATTGCAATGTCATGTGGTGCACTTACAATGAAAGGTAGTTGCTAAGTAGCCACCATATGATTATCATGGCCGCGTGTAACTTAACAAAAGTAAAAAAAGTTTATTTTAAAAAAAAGCTGTGTGTAAACAAAATTTTCAATCTAATTTTAAACCCACCAACGTGGGATTGTATATTCCCAATTCTCTGTGGTCATTTTGCCCAAAGACAGCAACTTTGCCTGGAAACAATACTCAGGTAGGTTGGATGTTCATTCATTTGAAATATAAAATTATTTCTATTAAATTGTTGTGCCGAATTTTTTAAAAATTCAAATTTAAGGAGCTTATCATGAATTAGCCAAATTCCTGACAGCAAGAATAAGATGGTTTGTGGCACAACACACATCAGTATTGTCCCCCAACAATGCTCTCTCTGTGGGCCACATGTTACAACGTGCCAGGTTGTGGCAGACTGGTGGTGACCCAAGCCGCCAGGATCCTCCACGTGGTGTCCGGCCTGCAGTTCCTGGACTCTGCAGAGTGGTTCGGGGTGACCTCCGCTGACTACTACCAGGTGACAACTTGACATTTCCAACTTTGGTGACGTGGGACGTTGTAGCTGTGATGTCAGAGCTGAGGTGTGGCTGTAGCTGTGATGTCAGAGCTAACGTGTGGCTGCTGTAGGTGACCATCACAGCACTGACTGAGAGCCGAGTGATGGTGTGGAGGAAAGAACGGCTTCAGCGAACGCTCCACAATGACGCCCACCTTCGGGCCGTGCTGGACACCCTCCTGGGGCGGGATGTGGTGAAGAAGCTGCTTCTGGCCAACGACGGTCCCACCATCAATGGCACCGCTCTCTTCCCACCGCTGCCAGCCACTCTGTCAGCCTGCGGGGAGGAGACAGAGACAACTTCCTTGCTCCCTCCGCACCTGCAAGGTTGGTGTCACACACTACTTTGTCTTCACATTCTTTCTTAAACTCATATGTTTCTCCTTTTTGTTTGTTGGTCTCTGGCTGGAACTCCCTGGCTAGTGGAGAGAGAGAATCCCAGGCCACGTTGTGTAAGCACTGTCAGCTTCGGCTGGTAGCTCAGCCTCTCTCTAGAGTCTCAGATTTGTAACAACTCCATGAAGACCTGGTCTCACTCAACAGATTGAACCATTGCAATAAGTTATTGCTCAACTGTGGATGTTGTATGGACACACCACGTTGCCCGCTACCACCCCGAGTGTGTGTGTGTGTGCAGCCAACCTGGGCTCCAAGAAGAAGAAGCTCGAGGAGATCATCGACACAGAGACCACGGTGTGACCTCCCTGCCGTCACTTTAGTCTGTGATATCTAGTGTGGCTGGCCTCACTTCTCTCATTTTATCAAGTTTTTATAACTTTTAAGTTCTTTTTTTAAGCAATATTATATTTTAGCTTTTGCATATATTTTCTAATTTTATATACAAAGTAACTTTGTGTTTACTTATTTTATATATATATATATATTTATAGGTATTTTATCTTTGAATTATTTTTGTTATCTTCCCATTTATGTAGCAGTGCCCCCTCACTGAGGCCAGATGTGGAGATTCACCAAACTAAGCCAAACAATGACAGATTGCCAAAAGGTAGCCAGATGTCAAACTGGGGCCTCAAGTTGCTTCCATCTAACTTGGCACATATAAGGCCAGCTATTCCACTTTTCCTAAAATTACATTTTTGAAATTCCACGCAGGATTGTTGAAACACTTGCAGAGCCGGCCTTGGGTCAGGAAGGTTTATCAGCTCCAGACTTATTCAAGGTTCGGTGACAATGGCAGAAGTGAAATCACTTTTGTTCTGTTGCCATGGATCAAAAACAAAAGGCAACAAGACCAAATTATCGAAATGTTGCGAACATTTCATTAATTTGGATTTGATCTTGCTACCTTTTGGTTCTAATCTATAATCCAATTGTCAATTGGATCAAAGACAATATTACTTTGTGTGGAACAGTTCAGTTTTGAGATTTAACAATACTTACCTATTAAGTTTATGTATTTTATAAATTGTACTGCACATTTTGTGTCTTCCCCAACGATGGAAGTAAGTTGTTGACCAGAGCGATGCCTGTGTTAGCACATCTGTCAGTCCCTGTGTTGTCCCTCCAACTCCTCCATTTTCACCTTTTTAAAATGGCATTTAATAAATGGATGGGAAGATAAATCTCCACAATATTGTCGAATGTTGCAATGCAAGCAAATCTTGCACACACACTTGTTTTTTTACAAAGGTTCATCCTGAGTCCCCCAGTTATATACTTGTACAACACCACAGGGTGCACAACTTGGATCTGTGTATTTATAAATATCAACTATTTAAGCGTGTTTGTTTCTTTTTCAAAATAAAACCATTTTTCTTACTGGGGCAAATCCATTGGGAGGGTTCTTTGGTGATGAGCCAGGCCCTCCCAATATTTTTATCATTTTAGTAAGGGCAGCAAGAAATTGTTTTATTTTGAAAAAGAAATGTTCTTACTAAGGACCAAATAAGTGATGTGGCAGCAGTGCTGCTGTTGTCTGGGTCTTCCATTTGTGCTGGAGAGACCGCGTGAGATGGGCTCCCAAATATGTTCTGTTCTCGCTGTTGTGCCCAGCTGTTGTGTTATGTTGCAATTTTGTTGACAATGTGTCCACGGGTATTATTGCTTGATGTAGTTATTGAAGTGTTGCTAGAAAGTTCTATTCTTGTAAAACCTGAAGAGTTGTCTCAGTCCCTAGCTCTTCCCCATCTGTGCTGTTGTTGTTGTTGACATTTAGCGCCAAATTCTGTTGTTAACCACTTTATAGAAAGGATTTTACAAAATAAACATTTTTGTCCTGAGATGTTTGTCATTCTTCCCACACCACCACATACAGCCGCTGGTTCCCAGTCCTCCGTGTAAAGCAGCAAATTCCCAAGTTTTCAATAATCTTCAAACCTGTCAACATGCTTCCTAAGAGACAGGAAATTGAAGGTTCAATAATCACTAGGTTTTGCTAAATCTGTGTATCCAGAGTTTTTTCAATGGAATTGTATCGCTGAAATATGTTTGACACAAAGACACTTTTTTGATAAGTGATATGTTTATCAATTTATATAAAATTTAATAAAACCTCTTTTTGTTGGGTGTTTGAGGGCAAACATTAATGAAGAATTTGTTAGATCTCCCCTTGGCAGAGCTGACTGCTACAGGGCATGTCCCCAGGTGGTGGATAGGGGAATGACCTTCAGATATGAAGGCCAGCTGCAAAACAAGCAGAATAACTCTGTTGGATAAGCAGTTGTGGACCAAATAGCAGCATTGTTAGAAAAGGAATAAGACCTCCTTAAAAATCCTGAGTTCAACTGACCCGGTTGATAGACCTCAGCAAGGGTTCCTCTCCAGGGATACAGAGGAGCTGCGTCAGCTTCCATGTTAGGAACGGCCTCAAATTACAGGCAAAGGCAGACTTTCACCAAAGTATGCTTGGATCATGGTGCTATGATATCAACAAAAGCTGCACCCCATTCCATGATATCAGATATTGATTTGCATGCTGCATCGCCCGTCGCGCAGAATAAACAGGGTTGCATTCAGGACTTAGGTAGAGGGTTCTGTCCAATAAGTATAATACAGTCTCCACACAAACTCTAAATTTGCAGTTTCCAAACAATTGAGCATTTTGAAGTGCAACATAAATGGAATGTGCTCAACAAAAATAAATTAGAAGAAATAATGGAAATATCTGAAAAACACAAGCTACAAATTATAGCCTTACAGGAAGCCAAATGAAAAAAAAAAAAGCTGAAATATAAAAACTACAATATCCTCAGAAAAGATAGAAATAAAGAAGGCCTAGCATTTCTAATCAAGAATTTGTACCATCTTCTTTCTTTCTTGCTTATCTCCACTCAATCATATTAGAGTGTCAAGACTTTTGATGGTGTCTGTTGACAACCATCATGACTGGGTGAAGTAGAATGCCTTTGTCATTAAGACTGGGAGCACTACTCAGTGGCAGGCCAACTTAGCTCTAAAATAAATGGCCGCCTCTGACAGGAGGAACAGACGCCATGTGCAGCCGCTCCTAACATGGAGTACAAATGCTGCTCATCCTGTATCCCTGGATTAGGAGCCCTTACAGGGTACTATCAGCCGGGCCAGCTGAGCCCAGGTTTTTTAGTGAGCTTGTTACTGCTTCCCCTCCTCCTTTTTCATCCGGGCTTGGGACCTACCCCGGTCTACCTCAATCAAAACTAAGCCATCAACATAGTAAATAAATAGTATATGACATTAAGGTAACAACACTGTTACGGAAACATCACACACTATTTTTTTTTTTTTCAGATTTAGTCTTATTACCTTGTGATTATAATCTATAATCCTTTTAACTTACACATCTCTAATTAGACCTATCCTGGAATATGGATATTAAATCTATGGTACAGCATCTGAAACATATCTAAAATCACTGGAAAGGATACAACTAAGTGCAGCTAGAATTATTACAGGTCTTACCTGTAAATAAATACCTGCCCTAATGATCTAGTACATCATAACAATATTGTACTTTACGAGGCAGACATTATGCCCTTAAAGGATAGAAGAAGCTACAATCTGCCAAAATATATAAACAAAATCAAGAGTTATGGAAACAAACACAGAACTTCCAATTACATACTTAAATGGGAATCCAATCTAAGACTCAAAAAAGAAGGCCCTCTCCACCTGGCCAAAAGAAATGGATTTTAAATTATAAAGTGGAAAAAAATTATTTGGCAGAAAAAATATCTTCATGTGAACCACTACAAAATGTTATTTTTAATGTCACTTTTAATGAACCCACCAACAAACAATGCCAAAATCCAGAATACTTAAAACAATTATCATTAGAAATAATTAATAACATTCCTAAAAATGCAATAACTATCTATACCGATGGAAGCAGAGACGAATTGGGGCACACTGGCAGT